TTAAATGATTTTGCATATTTCTTGTTAATAAAAAGTAGTCATCTACATGCTTTTTTGGTTGTTCTTTAAAGAGAATCTTCTTTCAGAGATGAATTATTTCCCGCAAACTGAATGACTGTTTAAATACTTCCGTTAAATAATGTGAACAAATCCATGGCATTCTGACAAAATTCTGCGCACAATTCAAACAAAAGATTCATTTTACCCAAGCTGTAAAATATGTTTACATTGTTTTAATTGACACAGACAACAAAAGTTACTGAGCAAAGTCAATGAGAAAAATTGCCAACAATACTAATGGCCCAGATTATTCTGCTGCGTAGCAGTATATACCAATGTAAGGCATTTTAAATACTTAAAAAATAAAGTCTTAATTTGATTATGTCATTTTGACATGTAAGTGAAAACAAAAATGAAACAACATTGCACAAATAACATATGCAATGCACAAGATTTAATTGAAGGTCTCAATCAAGAAATAACTAGGTCAAAATGGACGGTCAGGTATACAGGACCACACTAATTGCTCCAGAGCAATTACATTTCCTTAACATGATCACAAATAGGCCAAAAGGCCTTGGACACTAAGTTCTGCCTCAATTTCATTAACAACTCTAAAACTACCGTCAGACTTGAGGAATTAAAAAAAAAGAAAATAACTTGCAACTTCCGTTTAGTTCAGAATAGATAATGTACACAATTTACCTACTCAGAACTTTAATAATTGCAGTGTGCATGGTAACTTAAAGATTTCGTACACAGAGATATACTTGGAGCTAATTAGAATTAATGAGTTTCTAGTTAATAAATTGAAGATATTGATATAAGTGAAATAGATTAGTTAAACTTTACTGTGTCAACATACCACAGACAAAGTCTTCACAAACAAGAGACTGAGACCAGACAACGACCCATATCCCAAATTGAAAAAATTCACATAAGCATAAGTAGTGCCAAAGTTCCCAAACAAAACGGGGAAAAATTCAAAAGGCTGCGTTCAGATCACAAAAGTAAACATAAATAATAAATACTTTTTTACTTAATAGAAAAACAAAGACTCGAAGGGATCACAGGGCTTCCTTGGCCTTGCGGCACTTTTGCCGACTAGTGCCCCCCTTTGCACCCTGGGGTTGCGCGGGCAGCCTGGCGGTCTCAGACTCGGCCCGCTCCGACACCGCGCTCGCCAAGACTTTCTTCTGTTTCTTTGGGGGTGGTGGTTCTTTGGCCGTGGTCGCCGACTCAGGGCCCTGTTTGACCTCGGTTTTCGAAGTCTTACCTCGACCAGTCTTGGAGCTCTTCTGGTCGACAGACTTCTCCTCGCCAGCGGGACGCTCCTTGGCAGCCTCCCCGCCGACGGGGTCCCCCCTCACCGCGCCCTCCTCCACCGGACATCCGGACACCTTAGTTTCACGGTCGGCGGCCACCTCCGGACTCGGCTCCAGCGTCGTCCTGGCCTTCTTGGCCTCCGGGCCGACGGACGAGACCGAAGCAGTGGCCTTGACCTCTCCATTGGAGCACACAGACGAGGCCCTGCTGAGGCCACGGGCCTTTTCCTTAGGGTCGCGGAGCAGCATCACCAGGCGGTCGCCGTCGGCGGCTGCGCTCAACCGGTACCCCTCCAGCAACTAAAAGCAGCGGAGAAAACATTTCCGTTCATTTTAAATTTACATCAACAGCATAACAGGAGGTTCCGCGCAGGCGCACCCCGCCCAGGGTTGATGGAGCATGCGACAGGGCGAAGGAGGAGATCCAGCCCTTTACCTTCCACCCCTCCACCTACAAGACTGTCCGGTCCGGCAACCTGCCGCTACCCACCCCAAACCCAAAAAGCCTCCCGGAGAGCTGCCCCTAGCCCACGAATAGGACTCCGCGGCCGAGTGACATCGAGTACTTTGCACTGTAAAAACAGGGGGGAAGAAATTGGGTTTAAGAAAATAGGGGCTGTTTCTCTAACATAAGTAGAAGGGACACGATACCCACGATACGGGTCCAAAGGATACTATGATCACAGTAGGCGACCAATCCCGACACCGAAAAAATGTCTCCTTTATTTTGTCCGGGCGGCACAGAACCTCTATTCTATTCGCTCGCGCACAGAAGGCCACCCCACCCCCACGCGCCATAACCATGAAAGCGTTACCGCCCCGGCCAGACAGCGAGGCCGCCAGCGGCCGCCAG